GTCCAAGTCCAAAGTTTCTCCTGAGATTTAAGAAATAGCCTTAGCTTTAAACCCCTGTACAAATGAAAAGAAAGGTAAACACTTCCAACATTCATTGGCACAGAATAGACACTTCCATCACAAAAGTGTAAATAGGGTGATACAAAAGGATAGAACTGAAACAAGTCCAAATCCAACAGAAAAAAAACATTGAGTCTTATAGTTCCATGTCCATCATTTGAGGCAATCTATGGCAATCTGTGAACTCTGAGGCTCGTTTCTCAAAGCAAAGTATTTTACTTTTGCAATTTTGAGGCTGCCAAGTTGTGCAGTCCTGCAGCTTCCTGTGATATCCTCAGGCTATCTTTTCTATTTTCCTGTTTCTTCTCAGCAACTGTGTTCTACTCTGTTCTGTCTTTGCAGTCCAGGGCCTTCCTGGGCTTTCTTTCTGGCCAAATGTTTTAAATCATTCTACAAGGTTCTTTCCTCTTGATTCTCAACATAAATCTGATTAAAATCTCCCAACACTAGCCATGCTACCCCATCAACATTAGACTGTCTTGAAATTTCTTCTATAAGATTAGTCAACCACTCTGAATCGCAGTTTCAGGCAAAGTCTCTGGACATAAGCAAAATGCAGACAAATTTTTTGCCAAGTCATAACACACTTTGTCTGGAGTCCAGCAGCCAATGCAGTTCTATCAAGCATAAGCCTCCTGAGCCTGGTCTTTGCATCATCATTTCTACCAGAAGTCTGTCTTCTGAGCTCTGAGCAGAATTTCTCAACAAGTATAGCCTAAAACATTTTAGGGTAGAAATATGTAACTGTTTTAGTAGAAATATGTAATTGTTTCTGTTAACATTTTAGAGGAATGTTAATATTAGAATATCCATGGTTGTTAGAAAATAACAGTTCTGTTTTATGTTTTAAAGTGACATTCAGATAAGATAATAATATTAAGCTTACTGCTTCAAAAAAAAAAATTTTAGGTAGGACTGCTTTTTCAGCCAACATCTCTGAACCTTAGCAAAATCTTCCCACAAGCCATTTCCAAAGGCTCCTGATCCACATGGTCAAGTATACTCACAACAACAACCCCACTTCTTTGGTATCAAAGTCTGTCTTAGTTACTTTTCTCATTGCTGAGACAAAATACCTGATACCCAGAGTTAAAGTGGAAAGATTTATTTCACTCACAATTTATGGAAGTCTGCAGTTGCATCGCTTCATAGCAAGGAGGCATGACAACAGGGCAGACAGAAGGTAGCAAGCAGCAAGTCCAAGTGACTTTAGTAGCTTCTTTCTGCCCCCTTTTGAATTCTATCTAGGCTACTGGGCTTAGGGTGCGTGCCAAATGAATCAGTAAACTGGTTTAGTAATCACACACTCTTAATCCCAGCTGCACACACTCTAGATCTAGCAACCTCTAAAAAATATACCCGCATTTATGACCACATAAGGCTTTGGGGAGACATCTCAACACAAGCCATAACACAGGATGTGAAAGACACCTTCCCCAGTACTCTCAAGATTAGTGCAGGAGGTGACTGAGGCGAAGCACAAGCAGCTACAGTTCTAGATGGTCTATGTTAGGATGCTCTTTATATTTTACAAAATGAGCACATGTGGTACTGGTAACCATGGACTCAAGGTGTAGAAAATAAAGGGATTCTTCCCTAGATCCCAGGAAGCGATATGAGTGGTTTAGTTATTATAGCACTTTCCTAGAGTCACAAGAGACAGATAGAAACTTCTTCACATCCCAAGGGACACATGAATGTGATGCTGGGGCTTTAGGCAACAACATGTATGGTCCCAAGAAAGTGAGTTGTGGACATCTTTCATAGATACCCTGAAATATGTGGAAATGATGTTTTGGCTTGTGTTTATATTATAATCCTGATTATACTCCAGATTATTTTCCAGAAGACCTTCCTGAGGTTTCACAAGTTAAATGCAGGTGGCACCAGGGCTTGTAATTTTGGTATTTTTGCCCTGGATCTGTAAGTTGTAGATGAGAATACCCCTAAATCACACAAGGAAGCTGCTTATAGCTAACAGGCTCCTGGCAATTGTACCCTCCGTCCTGGACCTAAAGGATATTAACATGAACTTTCCCTGGTTCCCAGAGACAAACATGATTGATGCCAGGACTCTTGCACTTATGACTACAGTCCCAAGGTTGTGGGCTGGGTTGGGGACCTTTTCTAGTTTTCATTGGCCAATGCAAGTAGCAGAGACTTGGGGTAGTTGCATTTCTGGAGCTGCAAGGTATGGAGGGAACTCTCCACAGACTTAGAGAATAGGGTTGTGTGGGGTGTGTGTGTGGGTGTGGGTGTGGGTGTGGGTGTGATGTTGGGACTTCATGTACTGAGGCCAGGGGCTAGGAAGAGATCTTTGCTAGTGCTCATAGGGTATGTACTTACGGTGCTATCCTGAAACTTTGAGACATAGCCAGGACCCTCCCCAACTGTTAAAAGATAGGTATGGGTAATGCAGAGACTTTTTGCACCAGCAGCACAGATGTCAGATAGTTGATCAAAGTCTTGCCTGACATCCAGGCTCCAATTAAGCAGACACACATAAGTAGTAAGAGGCAGAGATTTATTTAAGGGGCCATATACTCCATAGAGTGTGAATTGGCCGAAGAGAAAGCTCAAGAATAAGTTTGACTTAGAGTGGTCCCATCTGTTTCAGATTTAATTAAGGTTTAAATACACAAGGAAGTATTTCAAGTGAGCAGTACCCCAAGTTAGAAATTTAGGAACTGCAGTGAGCTCCAGGGTTGGTTTCCCTTGTTTTCCTAGAATTGAGCTATAAGAGGTGGTAACTAATGTGACTACTTTCCAGTCAACTGAGAAGTAAGTTCACTCTCACCTTGGAAGGTGAACCCAGGAACTTCAGTGTTAAAGCTGGAACTAGCAAAGTTGCCCAAGCCCATTGGGGGATCAAAACCACAATGCTAATGATATTATAATGACCCTAGGTTAAGCTAAAGCCATCACAGTACATGCTTCTTAGGCTTGTGTTAAAAGTCAAGAAAGTGAGGTGAAGCAGGAGCATATTTTTTTTAGGTTCATGTCATAATATTAGGGAAATATGAGAGTAAAACCATACCTCTAAGGTTCATTGAAGGAACTGTGGTAAACTCAGGATGTTCTTGTGGTCTCCAAGAGCCAGAAGATGTTTTTACTGTTATGAGCCTAGGGCTCCCAAATTGTCTGCATGCTTCCCACACTGTCTCCTGACTTGCTAAAGCAATGGTCTAGGAAGATAACCTTTCCTTCTTCCCATTTTGCAAGTACAAATCAGCCTTGAGTCTTGCCTGTGTCTCTGGAAGCCACAAGTCCTAAAGCCACAAGATGCTGAGGGGGCTGTCTTCTGCCTGATGAAACCTTCTTCTCCTCCTCCTCCTCCTTCCCCTTCCTCTTCCTCTTCCTCTTCTTCCTCCCCCCTCTCCTCCTCCTCTCCCCCCATCCGCTTCCTCCTCCCCCCTCTCCTCCTCTTCCTTCTTCTTCCTTGTATTTTAGAGAAGGGTCTACAGGGTGTTCAGGGTCTCACTACTAGATCAGACTCAGTGAGTTGCCTGTTTATAGCCTCCCAAGAGCTGGGATTACAGGCACGCACCACCATGCCAAGTTTCAGTTGCTGTCACAGCATGCCCTGGGGGTGGAGCCAGCACAGCAGGCCCTGGGGATCACACCCACGGCCCCTGTGCCTGCTTGCAGAACATACATACTTTTAAGGGCCAAGGCTTCTGTGATTCAAGGGGTTAGCCACCAGAATTACCAGTGGCTGTTATTGCCGCTTGGGCTCTACAGTTTGGGAGAGGCTCAATTATACTGTGTCTTTTGAAACAGTAGTTGCTCTAAGACTGGGCAGACTTACAGTCGTGATGATTGTGAGGCCCCTACAGGTACAATTGCAGGTCCACAGCTAAGATGGAGGTTTACTGATGCTTTCCCACTTATCTTTCCCCAGAAATGTGGAATCCTTTCTCCTCTAACTCCCTCAGCCAAAAATTGATGTTGAAGTTGCAGTTTTCTTTGTTCTTTTATCTAGGTTACCTAACTCTCCATATTGTTTTAAAGTTTTTGTCACTTCCTTGTTGATTTCTAGAGTCTTTGCTCCATCACTGTCCTCAAAGTACAGCTTTTCATTTGTGTTTCTGGTTCATCTCTGTGGTAGAGTTCTGTGCAGGGCACCTCTTGGGTCTCTTGTAAGAGCCATTCTTCAGTGAGCAGCCAAATTGAAAGACTTCACTTCTCTAATGATTCCACTGTCCTATCTATGCAGATCATATATGCAGATTATTGGATTTCTATTAAATCACACTCTGTTTTGAGTCCTAATAGCAAGATGAAGGGTGAAGTTAAATCTTTATATCGGTCTTTAAATTATGAAGACTATAGAGAACTAAAAATAGTCCAGGTTCAGTGTTCCATGTGTTATTGACTGTTGCACAATTCTTCATTTTTAGCTTCCAAAGAAAATAATTTCTTAGCCTTTGCTTTATCTGTCATTCCCAACTGTATATCAGAATCCATACCTACTCAATTTAAATATTCCTACCAAGAATTCTATTTCAGTTTCCCAATAGGTCCTGTTTTCCTACACACTCACTCAAATTATTAACATAGTATTACAAATTGGACTGTCTTTTATAAGCTTTCTGAGAAATATTTTCATATTTGAAATAAAGCATGTTAAAGTAGCTACAGTTAAATACAGCTTTAGTGGACAGAATGTAATCAAAACATGGACAAGACGTTAAGATAATATGTGCCAAATTTGCTGCTTGTATAAAGTTACTTGATATGCGGGGAATAGAAGTCAGGGGGAAGGATTTAGAATTACTTTTCCACTGGTGAGAAAATAGGTCAATTATTTATAAGATTTGATCATCAGTTAAAAATGGAAATGATGACCTTTTTTATAGACTTTTAAAAACTTGGTGTTTTTTATTGACATGTACAGAATATATAAACACACATATGACTTTTGTTTCTTAACTTTACAGGAAATCAATGTGTTGACAGTTGCATTGGTCAACCAAGACCGAGAGAACAATATTGAGAAAAGAAGCCAAGGCTTAAAATCAGAGAAAGAAGCTCTACTAATAGGTAAGGAAATTCTGTTTCCTTCATCTATTCCCTTAAATAATTCTTAGCTGTTGCATAAAATTTAATGTTTTAGTAATTCACCTCCAACTGTTAACAATTTAAACTGCTTTGACTTCTGGTTGGAAGTACAATTAATTTTGTCAAGATTATATTATGCACAGTATAAATTAGTGGCATACAAACTAGTCAAGTTTTCCCTTTCCTTCAGCCATGCACATATATTAGTTGCTTTTTGGACATAAAACTGAGTTCAATAAAACATACTAATTTGCATGTCACAAGGCACAAATTCAAATTCTAAAACTAGGGATGGCCCTCCTGACTAGAGGCAATATTAGTTCTAGTCCAAAGTTCCAAACCAAGACAGGCTCTTGTGCAGGTTTGCACTCAGAGATTAACCTTGAAGGCTCTTAGCAGTCACATCCTAAAAACAGCCCCAAGGCCAAACCTACAGTACATGTAGCCAGACTCCTATGATAGAGCGAATGCTGGACAGTCTAATCCAAACTTCCCCATCCAAGTGCAGATTCACTTTTACAAGATGGACAAAAGAAGCAGACCACTAAGAAAGGGGAGAGGAGGAGAAAGAAAGGTTTTGTTCACCTGAAACATTTAGTTGCCCCACAAAACACATCTAGGTTGCATTTTTCTTTGGCTGGCCCAAAAACAGACCCCCTAACCATTCTCTTTTGAGATTCATCATCAGGAGTGCCAGCAGCAGTCCTTACTTTCTCAGAGCAGAATACCTGTTAAGGTGTGGTGGTAGTATGTCCAAGAACCTTCCTTAGCAGCTGGCAGGTCCCTGAAGCCCTCAACCTTAAGGAAGAAGGTACTGCCCTTGCCTTAGAGCGCAGTCTTGGTTCAAGTTGTGCCTTGGCACTGACCCCAGGTGGGGTGCCCATTTCAAGCTCCTTTTCCATGGAACAGTTAACAGTGAAGAATGAGGCCACTATACACATGAGAAATTCTTTTCATGTACTTTGTTATCTGGCAAAAGTAGTACCTGGTTGCATTTTCTAAATACTGTGTATGCTTTCACCTCAAAATGACAGGTACACTGGGGCCTGCAGAAGCTGGCACAGGAGGAATTAAATTCAAGAGATAGTCCAGACTTCATCCATCATATATAGATTTTTCAAGTACAGGGTTATTGAATATGACATCAACTTAGAGATACTCCAAGGAAAACCAATTATTTTTTTTTCCTCTCTGATGATATACAGCTGTAATAACATGCCATGCGCAAGTCTCAGAAGACATGCTGATGTGCTATCAGTTCCAGTTCCATACTTAGTTGGTAACTGGATTTTTCTCCTATTGGAAAATGTGCCCAGTTCTGACAACTGTATCTCTTTCACTCACTGTGGCAAAAATGTAATTTCCCCCATGATACTCCTAGACTATGAATGAAGCATGTAACAATCTTTAGAAAAGTTTCCTTCTTTGTTTAAATGTGACTAATTCTGACCCTTTCAGGATCAGAAAATAGTTAGAAAAGGTCTCTTTTATTTTCTTACTATTCCCAGAGATTGCGTCCCTTTTTATATATCACTGGAGAACACGTCATTGACATAGTCTTCTACATACTTACTAGGAGAAATGTATGGTTTATATATCAAATATTTACAAATGCATTTAGCCAGATGCCTCAAAAATTTAAAAATTGTGTGCTTACACATTATGGATTAATAAGAGTTGATAGAGAGGTTATATTTACATATGTGTTTGTTTTTAATTTTTGCAATATGTCTCACTCTTCTCTCGTTGCTGCAACAAATATCTGACACCCAAAATGAAGGAAGGAAAGGTTTATTTAGCTCAAGTTACTGGAGGTTTCAGTCCATATTCAGCTGGCTCCAAGGAAGAGCGCCAGCACATGGCAGAGAACAACCTTACATGGTGGCAGCAAAGAGCAGAGAACAAAAAGGTGGAGGAGCAGCAACAATGGCTGCAGAGAGGAAGTCAGTCTCTGTCTTAAATAGCATTCAGGCTCTCTGCCCCAGGCTGAGGGAAGTAGTCACACCCATAATCCCAGCAGCACTAAAACCCATAATCCCAGTGGATCATGAGTTCATCTCAAACTCTAGAAGTCCTGGACTCATGACTGTATGAGACTTTGGGGGGACAACTAGACACAAACCATAACACAGTATTAGGATTTGTAATGACCTATCTTATCCTTTAAATCTTTTAAGTATTTATCATTATGTGGAGCTTTGTACATCTGGATTCTAAGTCTTTTAGAATTGAATACTTCTGCAACATCTTCCTCTTGACAGTGAAGGTTCTGTTCTACTGTATTCTAACTCTACTAAAGAAAATAGGCTCTTAGAAAGTATTTCACTGTTTCAATTTTAGGATTTTTTTAAATGAATTCTTATGAAAACAAGCTGACATATAATTGAACTTTAAGGAACTAGATGTTATGGAGGCATTTCAGGGTAACACTTGATGTTTCATTGCTCATTAGTGCCACATGTTAAGTCAGCTTAATGTTACCCAATGTCAGCGCCAGAATTTCTAGTCCAGTGATGGCAAACCTTTTAGAGCTTTCAATGATACAAACAGCCTGCTGTGGCACATGTGTCATATGTTCACTGCCACTGTCCTAGTTCATTTCACATATGGCCTATATTTGATCTAGCACATATTAGAGTTGTTTGTGAGAGAAATAGTACCTTTACTTTGAGACCAAACTTTTGAAGCTATATTTGGCTGGAAACCATTGAATATTTACAAAAGAAAATAGATCAAAATTTATATTGCTAAGCTAATGTTTCTGAGGAGATATTGATAATATAACTTGACTGTGTATCACTCTATCTTCTCTTGCTTTTGAATATTAATTCAATAGATTTCCAATTCCAGTACCTCTTACAGGCACCTTGTCAATGGTAGTCATCAATGCAGATCCCTTCAGATACAGTACAATCACAGTCTTCCTAACATCTTTAACTTTATACAAAATAGCTTTTCTTCAAAATTTCTTTGGACCTCTGAATACTACCCTCTGAATTCATGGTCAGGCAAGCTTTTGCACACAATTCTGAGTTTTCTATGGTTTGAGACATCCACCGAGGTACACAAGGGGTGCTGCTGCACCTTAGGGCCTGCTCACACCACTATTTCTATTACTGTCACCGTCTCACTGTATGCACAGTCTATGTCAGAACTGGAATGTTCCCCAAGTTCCTGGGCATTCAAGAGTGGATAAATGAAATGTGCAGAAATACGGAAAGTTGAGTTTTGACTTTTTAGTGTTTTCAGTGAATAGAGTTTAGGCTATATTTAGGCTATACTTAAGAAAAGTAATCTGGAGGGATCTGTTCTTCTCTAAAAGCTACTGACCATAAGGAATGAGTCACTGACCAAAATCTTGCTTCCAAGGTATAAATGTCCCTATCAGTAAATCGGCAAACATTTTCCAAGGGCCAAATCTAAGAATCATCAGCCTTTGCTATGGAAAAGAATCACTTGAGAAGCCTTTGAAAAGAGGATTTTTGCTACGCATACAGATTCTGTTCATTGTGTACTAGTCCTAAATCATGAACAGTGTTTCACTGAATAGATAAGGACTTTGTCAAGGGCATTTCAAATACAAGCAACAATTCAGAGTGGCCCAAGATATTACAGGGACTTCGTTTAAAAAATAAGACAGGTAGACATATTTTAAAAACAAACAGTAGCCAACATACATGCTCAGGTTTTGTACTCATCAACAGAACAAACAAATTGATTTTTGGAAAGCTAAAGCTGCTTAGAATGCCAAGGCACTAAAGTACTAGTGCTAAACACAGTGCCTGTAGCCCTCTGTCATCCTCTCTCAGACTTGGGCTTCTGCCCTGCCAGCCCTCCACTTCAGTGTCCACACAGCCAAAGTTGGGCTAAGATGTGAAGCAGAACTCCTTCCAGCTTGTTTATGTCAGGCCTCTGCTGCCCTCCCCCCCCCCCCAAGCAAGATGTCATGGTGTCCAGAGACACAGCTGTTCCTCTTCAGAGCTGAGGTCCCTACCTGCCCATGCGCCCTGCAGAGCTGGTAGGGGGCAGGGTCTTCTGAAGTTTCCCAGGGCCTTATCAACTAATAGGGATGTAGAGAAAGTTAATCTCAGCCACAACTTTACACTTGACATGAGAATCTAGAATGAAAACTCCAAGCAGCCTGAGGAAGAGGAATATGTTCTAGTAGAATTTCTTTTCTCATTCCATTCAAATAATCCACCAACCAAACTCAAATTACAAATGGACATTTTGATCTGATTAGTTAGCCAGTCTAATTTTAAAATGGGAATTCACAGGAGAAAATGATGAGAGTGGAATGGATTTGGCTTGTAAGAAACTACCATTCCTGATGATTTCTAAACGATCCTGCTTGGGGCAGTACAGAAGGGCATCCTGCGTATTTATGGCTTGAGGCATTTATCCCACTGGGTACCGGAGAACAAACCACTTATTCAGCATTGGCTGAGCTGTCATATTGTACAGTTAGGAGGATGATTAGATGGTCTTTCTTAAACACAATGCTCAGTGACCTACGAGGACTACTATCTGAGCTGCATCCCCCTTTAGATAGTGACCTTGTATGGGAAGTAGAGGGTCATGCACATCAATATAGAGAAAGGACCTCTGTATCTTAGACCTTAAGAGGAGAAGAGCTTAGGACAGAGCTAAGTGGCAGAGTGCTCTGCCAAGCATGTGAAGGCCCTTAATTCAGTCCCCAACACAGGAAAAAAAAAAAAAATCAGTAAAAACACAGATGGAAAACCTATCTCTGCAAAGCATGATCTATATATCCATTCTCCATTCTTACCCTTTTTCTTCAACCCACTGCTGCCGGGCTCATATCCTCACACTGAAACTGTTCTGGTTCACATGGCCACAGCACTTCATTTTGCCCGTTTCAGAGCTCCCTCCATCCCTCAGCTGCACTTTGCAAGGTTGAAGTCAGATGTGAATCTTCCGAACGTGCTTTCTTGTCTTGGCCATTGTGGCAGCAGTCATGATCTTGTGGCCGCAGTCATGATCTTGTGGCTTGTTCCCTCTTATGTTCTTTTGCTGAGGTCTCAGCTTAACCCCTGAATTTTGGGCTTCCTTGGGGTTCACTGCTGAGCCCTCTTGTGGTTTCTTACTACATTAGGAATTTAATTCCTTGGGCCTGCTTTCCAAGGCCTCCACAATCCAGACCCCACCACCACCACCACCACCACCACCACCACATGTAAACTGTGCTAGTCTCAAGTCAAGTGTGTTTCTGCCCCCTCATTTCTGTACTAGGGCCTTTGCATTATCTGTAGCTGCTACCTGGTCTTTCTCCAAGATTTCTGTGGCTGATTCTTCTCATCTCAAACTGGGGAAATTTTGATTTCTCAGAGAGGCCTTGTGCTGACTTCATAGTATTGAATAACATTCCACCAAGCTCAAGGTCAATATCTGTTCTAGCCTATTACCTGTTTTGTGTTCTTCTTTATTCTCACTACTATCTAAAAATATTTTAACCTTTGTGTTTATCAGATACATTGACCTAGAAAAGAGTTCTACAAGAGCTGGCACATTGTCTGTTTCACGCAGTGTTTCCTTCTAGCACTTGGTACTGCTTTGGTGCCAAGTGTTGAACCCAAGGTGTTTAAATGCAGTGAACAAAGGAAAACCAAAAACAAAAATACTAGTTTGTTAATTTAAATGTTATTCCATTTGGTTTTTTTTTTCATTTTGTTTCAAATGAGGTTCAAAAATGAGAATGAACTAAGTGGTTTTGATGGAATGCTTTTATGCAGGTAGCCCATTTAACTGGGTCTTCCTAGTGAGATTTGTACCAGTTGTATAGGTCTGTTTTGTATGTTTCTCTGCTTTGAAGGTTCTGAGACATGCAAAAGAGCCCAATGTACTAACAACTTCCTCTTTTCCTTTGATTGTTTCCATAAACTAGTTATTTACAATTGTATTTTCCACTATGGAAGGCCCATCTTAAGTATGGAGGCCTCCTACTTATCTATGGAGATTGCTAGCAGTAATTGAGTCTGTCCCTTTGCAGATTCACCAGTTCACTATTAGCTAAATTTTCCACCCTCAGCTAGTAGTATTCTTCTTGCAAAGCTTGAGGTCACTCCCAAATGATCATAAAGTATCTACAGTTGAGGCTTTGTGGCACTTTTTATTGCCTTTTGCATTACAGCTTTCCTTTTATCCTTCCCAGGCAACATCCTAGTTCCCTTAAAGGAGCTACAAGAGAATAGAACTATTTATTTAGGAAGCTCCTATAAAATGAATGTGATTTTTTTTAAAAAGGCATGGAAACTGAATTTTCTCAAATTGCCCCTTAAAGATATTAAAACTGATAAAAGATACCATTACCTTCCATCATCACAATAGTTTCATAGGACATTTCAAGAGAAATATTAAAAAGAAAGAAAATGATGTCAGAATAAAATGGTAGTTCTTTGTATCTCAGAAGAACAGCTAAGTATGTGAAAACAGATCTTAATTTTATGAAAAAAATTATGTTTAAAAGCAGTTTTTAAGATACAGGTCTTAAAGAATACTTTGAGAGACTCCTTAGTTCTCTATCTCCAAACTAAAGATAAACTAGGGATTTTTCTTTAAAAAGTGATGTGCATCCTCTAATGTCCTAGGCAACAGTCATGAGACCCTGTCCCATATCAATCCAAGGTCCTGTGCAAATAGAGGATGATCTAGTACCAGCATGTTGTGCTTGCCTGGAACCTGCTGTGACTGCCTTTCATGTGACGGAAGGTCTTCCCTCGGTCTGTTAATGCCAACCATCAAGGTTTACAATAAGTAAAATGTGATATCTAATACATTTAAAAACTGTTTAAAAGAGCATTTAAATGTCCATCTGAGCAGAGTCTCCTAACAAGCAACAGTGCAGTTTGTGGAGTTGACTTCCTGATTATTTTGATTTTGGATATAGAAGCAGGGAAGATAGGAAGATAATACTTTTTACTTCAGCCTAGATTCTAACATCCAACTGTTTGTCTGTTAATATAATGTTGACAGTTGATTCTCACACTGGAAAAGTCTGATTCACCATCAAATACTGGCTAAACCATCCAATCCAGGACCTTTTAAGACAATTTTGTAATTGACAGCACAGAAAAGGAGAGTGTGCCAGTGCCTTTTCAACAACAGCAGCAGCCAGCACAAACAGCAAATGCTGCAGGAAGAACATACTTCCTTTAATCACAGTCAGAGGCATATGTATTATGTACTTTTCATAACCAGCAACTATAATTATCAGGAAAACTTGAGGCAGTGTGATTTCTGACATGCCCATATGAGTCATTTTCATATTGCAAAGTCCACTGAGAGTGAGAAAAGAGATAATTTTATCCTTTCAATAACTATAATTTTATATTGGTAAATCAAGCATAAAATTGGTAGTTGAACTGTTTCCAGGCGTTGTTTAGAAATACCTTTATTCGTCTATATACTATTTCAGGGGGTAGTTTTGCTAACTACTGTTATTCTAGGAGACAGTGTTCTGTCGTCTGCCAGGTTCCTACTACTGTCTGCAGACTGTGCTATGATTGTGCTATTGTTTCTAATAGTACTATGTTTGTTGAGTGCTATTAGAAACAGCAAGACCACAACTCAACCTGACAAAAGTCACTGAGGTTAGATGGCATTTTGTGACTTAGACTTTGACTGGCTTCTAAATATTTCTCAATGTTTGTCTCTTTAATTCAGGCATCATATCCACATTTCTTCATGTCCATCCTTTCGGAGCCAATATAGAATATCTTTGGTCATACATGCAGCAGCTGGACTCCAAGGTAAATTATTTTTCTTGATTGAACTTTCATTTCTGCAATTTAGCATGTTGACAGCTGGCTGCACATGGACTTTGTGAGCTGCATCAGGATGAAACAGCGTGCAGAGGTTGGTTGACCAGCATGTGTACTTATGGGGAGTTCGGGCTTGGGCAAAATCGTTGTTTCCTCCTCACTTGCTTTTATCTCTGTAAAAGGAAAAGGAGTTATGCAAAATACACTGGCTACTCCCAGGTACCAAATTATTTGAAAACTTATGAGAAATTTGCTATTACAGATTGGCCTGAAAATTCCCAAAATAGGAGAAATCAGATAAGGATAAGTATAAGTAGGCCTAACCCTTAGACCATATTCTCATAGTATTCCATGTTAGGGACTTCACACAGTAGAAGAGAAATCATCTCAAGGAACAAGACAGCCAATATGACCCTCAAGAAAAGAGCATCAGTGTCCGGTTTTCTGTATTATTATCAAAGGGAAAAAAATAACAGTACAGTTATTCTCACCTGTATTCCTTAAGGCTCACACCCAGGATTAGACATCACTCCACCTCTCTGAAGTTCAGCTTTTGTCAACTGCAAATTAGCTGAATTTCTAGACCATTGCAGTATTTGTGTACCAATAGAGAAGGGACAAAAAAGGCTCATCATCTGTGTTGAGTCTGAACAAATAGTGAGAGAAACCACTGTTGAAGTAAAGTGATGGCCCCAGCCAGGGCTGCCCGGAGAACCCAGGAAGGGGGTGGACAGAGCAGCACCTCAGCGAAGTCAGGGAGGAGCGTGGGAAACCTCCTGCTGGAAGGGAGGTAGAAAGATCAGCTGCTCCTCCACAGGGCACAGCAAAGTGCACAGACCCATACCGCCACCGGGTGCAGAGCTGTAGTTCTGCACCCTGCCTAGGCACATGTAAGTCTTTCTAAATTTTAAAAAATTACATTTTTATCTGATGCAAATAACTTTCCCAATACACAATCACAGAAATGCTTGGATTGATACTTCCTTCCCCTTTGAGATAAATCATCTGGAGCTAGAAGTATTTTTCAGTCAAAGAGACTCTTTCTGATAAGTCACAAAAGGGTGAAAGGAATTAATTGTAAATGTTTTTTTAAAAAAGTTTTCATTAGCACAGATTAACTGTACATATCAATGGAGTTTAGTGTAATGTTTCTGTACATGCATACAGTGTGTATTAATCATAGCCAGTCATCTCTTCTCATCCTCCCCCCTCCTTAATCCTTCATAATCATTGTTCTCCTTTCTTGTCAATGTTTTTCAGTTTCTACATTTAAAATAGTACATGTGGTACTGATCTTTCATCACCTTATTTCATTTAGCATGATATCCTCTAATTTCATCTATTTTGCTGCAGAGGAAAATTTCATTTTCCTTTATGGCTGAATAATACTCTATTTTGTATTTTCGTTGTTCATTCATCTGGGGATTGTCCCTTATGCTGACTCCGTACTTTAGCATTGTGAATAGTGTCACATAGACATAGGTAAACACGTATCTCTTTAGTGACTTCATTTCCTTTGTATCTATGCCCAGAAGTGAGATAGCTGGATCATATGCTAGCTTTATTTTTATCTTTTTTAAAAAGCTCCTCACTATACCCCATAATGGCTGTACTGATTTATATTTCCATCAACCATGTGTGAATTCTTTTATCCACATCATAGGCGGAATTTGTTATTTTTGTTTTTTGAGTCATAAAATAGCCATTCTAACTAGAGTGAAATGGTATTTTGTGATAGTTTTGACCTGCATTTCCCTAGTGGCAAATAATGTTGAGCATTTTTTATATGTTTATATTTTTTCTTTTCAGACGTGTCTTTAAGATAATTTGCTCATTTTAAATTGGATTTCTTGGGGGCCAGCCAGATAGCTCAGCAGATTAAAGCACCTGCTTAGGCGGACACAGGGAGCAGGTTTGATCCCCAGCATACCATGCCGGCCCGAAGTCTTAGCATACCATGAGACTTCGATTGAGACTGGGAGTGGAGGCACATACCTATAATCCCAGAACTTGGGAGGCTTGAAAACAGGATCATTATGAGTCTTATCTGTGTAGTGAGACCCTGTAGATCCTGTATTAAATACATTAAAAAATAGGACTTATTGCTCTTTCTTAAATTTTTTGAGTTACTTATATATTCTTGATATGAACCATTCATCAGATGAGCAACTAGCAATTATTTTTTCCATTCTGTGGGTTGTCTCTTTACTCTATTGTTTGTTTGCTATGAAGAAGCTTTTTAGTTAGATGTTACCCCATTTGTCCATTGTGGCTTTTGTTTCCTGTACTTTTGGGTCCTATTCCGAAAAATTATTGCCTACCACAATGTTTTAAAGTATTTTTCCTATATGTCCTTCAAGCTGTTTCTGAATTTTGAGTCTTACATTTAAGTCTGATCCATTCTGAGTTATTTTTTTTGTACAGGACAAGAGATGGGGATTGAACTACGTATGGATATCCAGCTTTCCCAGCATCATTCATTTGAAAATGTCCTTTCTCTGCTGCACACATGTTTTGGTGGCTTTCTAAGCGTCACTTGGCTGATTTTTGTGTGGGCTTATTTCTGAAATCTCTGTTATATTCCTCTGGTCTATGAGTATGTCTGTTTTCATGCCAACACCATGCTGTTTGGTTACTGTGACTTTGTTGTATATCTTAGAATCAGATAGTACAATGCTTCTAGTTTTGGTCCTATTGCTCAAGAATTGCTTTGGCTATTTTGTTAGGATCCTTTTTGTTTTTCTAGTAATTTCAGAATTCTTTATTTCTAGTTATCTGCCAAATAGCATCGGTATTTTGATGAGGATTACATTGAATCTATAGATTATTTTGGGTAATTATAAACATTTCAGCAAGATTAATTCAAATTCAAATCAATGAACTTGGGGGGGTTTCATCTTTTGTGTCTTTATTTTGTGTTTTCTTTCATCATTAATTTGTAATCTTCATTGTAGAGATTTTTGTCTTGGTGTTTTGTAGGACTTCTTGTGAATGGATCTTATTTCTTAGCAAATTTATTATGGATATATAGACAAGCCACTAATTTTTATATGATGATTTCTGTGAATTAATCTATCAGTTTTAATGGCATTTTGGTAAATTCTATATGTTTTTGTATGTACAGAATCATTATCTGCAAACTGCGATAATTGACTTCGTCTCTTCCTATTTGTATGTTTTTTTATTTAACTTTCTTCCTTTTTCTAGCACTATACTAAGAACAGTGAGCTAATACCTTTCTGTTGCTCCTGATCTTAGCAGAAGTGCTTTCAGTTTATCTCAATATGGTATGATTGCTATACCTTAATGTATGAAATGTTCCCCAAAGGCCCACCTGTGAAAGGCTTGGTTCCCAGCCTGTGGCACTGTTGGGAGGTAGTATAACCTTTAAAATATTGCTGGAGGAAATTTGCTGAGGTGAGGCCTTGAAATCGTGGGACCCCAGCCCCTTTTGTCTCTGCTTTCCACCTCCTGTGAGGTAAGCATCTTCGCCTTATCACACACACCCTGCTATGGTGTGCTGCTTCACCAAATGTCAGAAGTCATCAGGGCCTAGTGACTATTGGACTGGGACCTTGAGCAAAAATATATCTTTGTTCTTTCTTTTTTTCTTTCTTTTTTTTATTTATTTAGGAATTTATTTTTATTTGTTCTTTATTTTCTAAGGTATTTTGTCATAGCAATGAAAAGCTGACTACGATGTTGGTTGGTTGTTTGCCATAGACATCCTTTTTTATGTTGAGGTGTGATCCTTTTATAACTAACTTGTTTAGGCCTTTTTATCATGAATTAATGTTAAATTTGATCAGCTGCTCTTGTGAATCTATTTGAAGTAAGCATAAGTTTTTATCACTTATCCTGGTAATGTGATTATTACAGTTCTACCTTGGTTCATAAATGCTTTTGTTGGAAGTGTGGAAAAAAATTGCTTTTTTTTGCAGACTCTGCAGCAGGTTATAAACATGACTGTGGCCATCAGTCTCAGAATTGTGAATGAATTAAGTTCATGAATACACTTACTGATCTTCATATTTTAGCCCTTCATTGTATCCCTGAAATGGAACCAACTTGATCATGATGTGTATTTTTTACATGTGTTGAATTCAGTTTACTAGTACTATATCTTGTTGGTGAGTTTTACATCTATATTAATTTTTTTTTTTTCGTATTTTAGGGAAGGGTCTACAAGGTGTTCAGGGTCTCACTACTAGATTGGATTCTTAATGATCTGCCTATTTACAGCCTCCCAAGAGCTGGAATTACAGGCATGTGTCACCATACCCAGTCTCAATTGCCATCTCAGTGTGCCCCAGGGGTAGGGGCTGGCATGACAGGCCTGGGGATCAAACCCCCGGCCCCTACACCTGCTTGCAGATGCTTAATCCGCTGAGCTATTTGGCCGGCCCTATTTTCTTTGTTGTGTCCTTGTCAAGTTTTGTAACACGGTAATGCTAGCC